CCTGGGCTGTCTCAAGCTCAGATGAGGTGTGTGAAGCTGCCTTGACATCATAAAGCAGCAACACAGCATGAGGCTTTATCCTGCTCTTTCCAGTGAGCAACACTGCCGGGGAAAGAGGTTGGAGCCCTTTGTGGGGTAGGCATGGGAAGGCAGTCAATACAGGCTGTTATTGAGCAAGGCTTCGTTGTAGGCAGCTGATGCTTATTCCTGCTGAAGAACCCCTGGAGCAGATGTGGTTCACCCAGGAGTGGGAGGGAGCTGGGATATTGATACACCAACCATCAAAGTCATTGGTGAGGGAGCCAGAGAAGGCCTTCAGACAAAGAAAGGCAGGTGTTGGCAAGTGGGAGTGGACAGGTGTGCACTGAAGTGATAGTAACAGGGGGATATGAGAGGGGCATCAACTGCATCTGCTACAATCTGGTAAATGCACAATAGGTTGCTGGTCCTGCTGTGTGCCCAACCTATGTATATGGAAACAAAGTAGAAGAAGACACAGTCCTTGACCTCAGAGAGCTTCTCTTCTACCCAAAAACTAGAATAATCAAGTGATAGGTTAAGAACAACTTGAAGGAAGACAGAATCATTAGGTCAGTGATGTAGTCTGGGAATGCTTCACGAAGGTATTGAGACTCTGGCCACCTCCTACTCACCCTGTTGATGAAGGCGGGACTCTCCTGACGTAAATAGTATGAGATGACTGAACACACAACACCTGACACTGGGCAGATGAGATCAACAGCAGTTAACTACTCACATGTACTCACAGCCCAGGGAGAGGGACAGTGCCCACTACGCAGGAACATGTGGGAGTTGCACTCAGGGATAGAATGAACCAGCAGGGGCTGTGGGAAGCAGGCTTTATGGTGACAAGAGGATGAAGTGACCCTTGACTCCATGGGAGGATGTGATTGGCTTGTTTGAATAATTTTCCCAGCTGGAGGGGTGGGAAACCCATCAGGTTGAGGATTAGGGGTGCAGCTGGTCCAGCAGAGAGAGGAATAGCAGGCCAGGAGACTTTCCTGCTGGGTGGAGTGGTGTATCTGCCAAGAACAGAGGACCTCATGGCTAGGGACCTTGGGGACCCTGTGGGGTTCAAAGATGTCAAAACAGCACATGAAATTTCAGGCTTTACAACACAAGAGCTTAATAAATAGCACTCAGGTTTCTAAACCAATTGAAAAATAAGGCAAAATGACAAGAAAGATGGATGGCCAAACTCTCACTTTTGTTGTGATGACACTGGTATTGAATATTGAACATAGGGACCACTTCACACTCAGTTAGATAAACCTACAAACCCCGACACAGGTGGGTGGGAGAGACACAGGCCTCCCTGGGCACTTCAGTTTACTCCTTGGTAAAACATGCCTGTTCTACTATGTAGAAATATCAGAAGGGCTATCTACTAGCGTTTCTGGATGCCACAGCCAGAAGAAGAGCAAGGTTCATGTGCAGAGGACCTGGTTTCATAGAGACCCTAGGAGAGTGCGGATCTCAGGACACACACGTCCAAGCAGAGAGATGGTAACCAAGACCTTGCAGATGTCCCTCTTGCCAGTGGACAAGTTGTGGAAAACGATCAGTTTTAACAAAGACTGTAGCCTCCAACATGCTTTATGTCTGTCTACCTTCTCTGAACCTGACAAGAAGCTGGAGAGGTTGTCAGCAAAGTTATTATTATGCCCATTTCACAGATGAAAACACTTAAGTCCCAGGAGCATAAGGGATTTATCCAAGTCTACAGCTTGGAACCCAGATGTTCTGAGTAACTCCTAGGCCAATGTTCTTTCTTTTCTGATTTATTTGATGTCAACTCTGCATTTTGGGATATCTTTTATAATGAGGAAGATGTTATGGGATGAAAAAATATTAGAATTTAAGAGTTGATCACCGAATAGAGGTAGGAATGTAGAAATTCTCTTTGGCATTGGTTATCAAGATACTCTTCATGCTGGAATTATATTGGAGGAGGGGGGCAAAGGGAAAGAGAGAAAGAGAGAGAGAGTCCTGATTTAGTTCTGCTTCCAGAGTCCTCTTGACCTAGCTGCACAGCATTTCCAGAACAGCCCTCCCCTTCGCATCTCAGGCTCTGCTTCCCTCACTCCAGTGGTCAGCTACATGCAAAAGAATGAAACCAGACCACTTTCATACACCATACACAAAAATAAATTTAAAATGGATTAAAGACCTCAGTGTGAGACCTGAAACCATAAAAAGTCCTAGAAGAGAGCACAGGCAGTAATCTCTCTGACATCGGCCATAGCAATATTTTTCCAGATATGTCTCCTGAGGCGAGGGAAACAAAAGCAAAAATAAACTATTGGGACTACATCAAAATAAAAAGCTTTTGCACAGCAAAGGAAACAATCAACAAAACTAAAAGGCATCCTTTGGAATGGGAGAAGATATTTGCCAATGACATATCCAATAAAGGGTTAGTATCCAAAATATATAAAGAACTTACCAAACTCAACACTGAAACAACAAATAATCCAATTAAAAAATGGGCAGAAGACATGAACAGACATTTCTCCAAAGAAGACATACAGATGGCCAACAGACACAGGAAAAGATGCTCAACATCACTCATCATCAGGGAAATGCAAAGCAAAATCACAATGAGATATCACCTCGCACCTGACAGAATGGCTAAAATCAAAAACACAAGGAACAACAGGTGTTGGTGAAGATGTGGAGAAAAAGGAACCTTTATGCACCTTTGGTGAAAATGTACATTGGTTCTACCACTGTGAAAAACAGTATGGAGACACCTCAAAAAGTTAAAAATAGAACTACCCTATGATCCATCAATCCCACTACTGGGTATTTACCCAAAGAACACATAAACACTAATTCAAAGGGACAAATGCACCCTTATATTTATAGCGGCATTATTCACAATAGCCAAATGATGGGAACAGCCCAAGTGTCCATCAATTGATGAACGGATAAAGAAGATTGGTATATATATACACATATATATGTTAACATATATTATGCACACACGTGCATGAATGCACGCGCGCGTGCGCACACACACACACACACACAGGAATATTATTCAGCCATAAAAAACAATGAAATCTTGCCATTTGCAATGACATGGGTGGAGCTAGAGAGTATTATGCTAAGCGAAATCAGTCTGTCAGAGAAAGACAAATACCATATGATTTCACTCACACATGGAATTTAAGAAGCAAATGAGCAAAGGGGGAAAAAAGAGAGAATCAAACCGAGAGACAGAGTCTTAACAACGAACAAACCGGTGGTTACCGGAGGGGAGGAGGATGGGGGGATGGGAGAAACAGGTGATGGGGATTAGGGCATGCACTTGTCGTGATGAGCACCAGGTGTTGTATGGAACTGTTGAATCACTATATTGTACACCTGAAACTACTATTACACTGTATGTTAACTAACTGGAATTCAAATAAAAACTTAAAAAAAAAGAAGAAAAAAAAAAAAAGAAGAAGAAGAAGGTAGCGGGAGGGGAGGAATGAAGCGGGGGAATTCGGAGGGGTGGACGAACCATGAGAGACGATGGACTCTGAAAAACAAACTGAGGGTTCTAGAGGGGAGGGGGGTGGGAGGATGGGTTGGCCTGGTGGTGGGTATTGAGGAGGGCACGTTCTGCATGGAGCACTGGGTGTTGTGCACGAACAATGAATCATGGAACACTTCATCTAGAACTAATGATGTAATGTATGGGGATTAACATAAGAATAAAAATAAATAAATAAATTAATTAATTAATTAAAAGGAAAAAAAAAAAAAGAAGAAGAACGATGGTAACGTTTCCAGCCTGGGTGACTGGTGGACTGGAGCCGGGAAGCTGGTTCGGGGTGAAAAAGGAACCATTCTTCGTGTTGTAACTGGATGGCTGCTTCCTAAGAAACTCCTATGTTGCCCAAAACTCCCCAGCATGATAAAGACAAAGGTTTCAGTGCGACAAAGGGGAATGAGAATAGTGAAAACTCTCCCCTGCGTGAGCATCAGAATCCCTGAGGGAATTGAATAAAAATGCAGATTCCTGGGACCGAGCTCAAGGGATTCTTCCTCAGTAGGGCTGGGGTGGGGCTGAGGGATCTGACTTTGTATCATTTGCCCTGGGCAATTCTGTACAGTTGGTTGACAGTTGCATTTTATAAACACTCGTGTTAGGGCTGGAGAGCCTCAGAGCTGTAATAACAAAATGGTTTTTCCTGCTGGAATTATGTTACAAAAAGATGATGGTTCTTCTACCTCTGTGTGTATTTCATTATGGAAAATAATCAACTGGCTGATTAAAAAGAATGACAAACCTAAATAGCACCAAGAACAAGGAAAAAACTGATGAGTTCAAAGGAGACCAAAAAGAAGAAAGATGTTTTAAAAAACACATCATCAAAATGAGTTTCAGCATTCCACAGACCCAGAGGATGTTTCACCAACTGCCCCCCGGAACAGAGCCACCGGTGGTCTGTAATTATGTAAACAGCTATAAGCTTTTTACTTAATAGCTGTTTACATAATTAAAACATGTGTAAGATTTGTCCTAAGCTGCTACTAGAAATTTTCTAAATTTTGTAAATTTATAATAGAGCAAGGACTTCTAGAACATCTCATGTAAATGTATGCAAATGAGCACATGGATGTATGCAAGAAAACAAAGGGAAGGATGTCCTTCTCTCTTTTCTACAAATAGGCCCTTACCTTATTTTAAAATCAGCTCTACAACAAAGCCGCCAGGAACAAGGGTACATTACTGTAGGATTCCGTTTTCATGAAGTTAAAAAACAGGCAACACTAAATTGTGCTGAGTGAAATCAGACGGGTGGGGTGGGAGGACTGGTACGGGGCATAAGGGAGTGGGAAATGTTCTAGATCTTGATTTGGGGAATGGTGGCAGGAAAAACTTGGTACATGTTCTCTTGACCGAAGTTGCCCTGGTGAAGTCTGCCGTGGCTTCTAAGTAATAAGCTGCCCAAACTTTCTGCTTTTGGCTTTTGTGTTTCGGGCTACTCGCGGTCAGGTGGCATGCCTATCTGCAGCAGATGTGGTATCTGCAGGCATGGCCCAGAGCTGGGGGGCTCAGGCGCCTCGCTCTTGCCCATGTTTGGGGGGAACCTGAGCCACAAGTGGGCGCCGGGTCTCCTCTTGCCCCGGAGAGATGAGCAGACATGCGGATCGGCAGCAGCACCAACCTGTCAGAGCTGAAATGAGGGAAGGGGCAGCCTGGCCCGGCCCCCATCTTTACCCCCCCGCCCCCCTGCCCCGGCCCACGTCATCCTCACCTGTCGATAGCGATGGCCAGCAGGGCATTGGTGGAGACGTAGAGGGAGACGGTCCGCAGGTAGTTGACAGAGGCACAGAGCACGTGGCCGTGCTCCCAGGAGAGGTGGCGCACCACGTAGTAGTCCATCTCGAAGGGGCAGCAGATGATGGCCACCAGGAAGTCGGAGATGGCCAGGTTGGCGATGAGCAGGTTGGTGAGGTTGCGTAGCTTCTTATAGCGGGCGAGGGCAGCAATGAAGACGAAGTTGCCAACGCCGCAGACCAGCATGATGCCTGCTAGTGCCACACCGATGACGATCTTGGCAGCGAAGAAGGTCCGGGTCTTGGTCATGTCCTCATCCTCGTCCAGAGGGAGGTCGTAGTCACCGTAGCTAAAGTTGAAGGGGAGGGGGGAGGTATGGTCTTGAGCTGGATTGAAGCTGGGCGCAAAACTAGTGTTTCCATTCTGGGCTGCCATGGCGAAGACTGCAGGTGGAGTGGTGTGGGGGTCTCAGCGGGCTGAGTTGGGGGTCCAGACCTTCTGCTGTCACGACTCACCCAGCCTAGCACCCTGCCCACATCCCTGAGGAGAGCCAACGCGCCATCCCGGACCCTGGAAGGAGACAAAACCAGTGGGCATCCTGCAGGACAACGCCTGTGAGTATTCTCCCAGAATTCCCCAAGTGTAGGCCAGCCAGACCCAGTGACTCCCCTCAGACAGAACTACCCGGGGTACAGGGGAAAGGAGACATGAGATCTGGAAATTGGGAAATCTTCCACGGGCCGTCCGGTGGTCCTGGGCAAAGGATGAATTGGACTCTCCAAAGACATCCAAGAAGAACCGGCATCTTTGCCCTTTTCCCAGGGGCCAGGATCTGTGTTACTGCCCAGTCACACTCCCCTTCCCCACCATCAACTCCCGCAGGGTCTTCTCAAAGTTTCACAAGCCTGCTCCAGGCCGCTGGCCCAGGCTTCCACAGCAGTCACCAAGTTGCGCCATCTGTTGGTCAAGGACAATGAAGCCAGAGGACTGAGACACAGCCGGGTCTTTCCTCCAAAGCAGGGCACTGCTCCCTATGTCCTGACCAAACCTTGGATGTGGAAATCACCAAACCCATTTTCACATGGATAGGCTGAGTCATCTTGGGCCAGTGAGTTATACTGTCTCAGTCCCGGTCTTCCTGTAAACCAAATCCCTGCTGCCTAGCCCAGGGCCTGGCTCGTAGTAGGGACGGGACAGGAGTCTGTGGGATGAATGAATTAATGAGGATCTGCCCAGGATTGTGTAGGTGAAGGGGGCTATGGATGGGACGGAATTCTGCTGCTACTCCTCTGGGCTTTGGGAACCAGATCTAAAAAGAAATGCTTTGTCTGTGTCTCCTCCCTGCTCCCACTCTTCTGATCAGCTCCCTGTCCCCTTCACCAGAACCCACCCGGTTCCCCACCAGAACCAACCCTAACTGGGAGGCACCACATCCTGTCACCAAGCTGCTCATCCTCTGAAAGTGGTGGCCGCTCCATTTTAACCGAAAACAGCGGGTAGAGCGGGGGGGGAGGTGGTGTCAGTGAGGACCCAGGAGGGCCTGAGGGCTGAACTGTCCCTTATTGCCTGAGTCCTTTATGTTCTCAGTACCTCAAGATGCCCATGGCAAAGGAAAATAAATTCTCTGAAGTACTGAGGGGACACCATTGGGTTCAAGGCGTCAGAGGGCCTCAGAACCCCCCCATCCCCAAACCCGCAGAATGAGGACCCCAGTCATCGAGCTGTGACCCGCCTCTCCCCGCTTAACACAACTGGAAACGACCCCAAGTGTGGGAGCCATGGGATGCTGGTAGCAAGAAGTGGACCAAACAGGACAGTGGGTTTGGCCCGGACCCGTCAGAGGAGGCGGAGAGCGAGGGACGGGAACCGTAGCAGCAGGGACAGCAGAAGCAGGGTGGCCGGGCCACTCCGACCTGCGGCGCGTCCGCCCGCTGCGCACCCGAGGGAAAGACCTCCGACAGATGAGGTCCTCCGTCCGGGTGGCTTCTCCCTCTCCCGCGAAGCCCCAATCCCCGCAGACAGCGCTCAGCCCGAGACGGGGAAGCGGGACTCGCGTCCTCTCGCCTTCCGCGCTGCGCGGCTCTCCAGTCCCCAGACCCTGGAGGAGAGGACGTGAGCCCGGGTGGCGCAGGTCCCGGACCCATTTTTCGCGAATGCACTCCCTGCCCCAGACCAACCCGCTCCGGGAGCCCTCTCCCCTCCCCTCCCCTCCCTTACTCACCCCCGGCGCGGCCGCGCGGTCCAGGAGGCGCCGCCCCGCAAGGGCGGGAATCGAGTCAGAAATTCAGGCTCAAAAAGCGAAGCGAGCGGGGCCTCCGGACGAGAAGAAAACTGGGAGTAGGGGCAGGATCCGGTGAGCCGGGAATTCTCCCGGAGAGGCTTCCCTTTTCAGCTTACCTTTCAACAAGACGCCCCCCTCCCATGCCCTCCCCTACAATTTGGAGCTCGCCCGCCGGCCCGGCCCCCTCCGCCGGCGCCCGCACGCCCCGGTCCCGGCTTCCCGTCGCCGGGTCCTGGCGGGCCCGTGGTGGGTGGCGGACTCCCCCGGCCCGAACTCCTCCACTTGGAGCCAGCCCGAGTGCCTCCCGAAAGGTGCGGGAGGCAAAGCCACCGGAATCCCCCCGAGAGAGAAGTGGGCGTCAGCGCCCCCAGCCCGGGCGACGCCCCCCACCGCACCAAGGGAGGCCCCGGACTGCGCAGAGCTCAGCACCTACCTGCCTGGGTGCCTCCTCCCGGCTCGCTCCGCTGCCCTGGCCGCTCGGTTGGGTCCTGGGGGCCCCCAACTTGCGCGTGCCGTGGCGCTGCGTACGGGGTGCTCTGCTTTCTTCCTTGCTCCGGCGCGCTCCCCCGCGCGTCGCGGTCTCTGTCTTCCCGCTGGAGTTGGCGCTCCGCCCCTGCTGTTGAGCACGGCGCCTCGGACCCGGCCCGGTGCGCCCCGCCCCGCGCTCGACCCCGCCCTGGCGTCCCCAGCCCGCCTCCCTCCGCTCAGTGGCACAGGGTGGGCGCTGCGCTCCTGCACCTGGTGTGCCCCGGGCGCGGGGCGCGCGCAGTTCTGACTGCGTTGGCGCGGATCCCCAGTCCGCCGGGTTGGCCGCTCGCAGGGGCTTCTGCGTCCTCGCACCCGAGTGTGAATGGGACTTCAGTAACTGGGGTTAGAGGGTGCGGATTCCGAGGAAGCGGCAAGGTCCTCAGTGCCCCGCCGAGGCGCCTCGCGGGGGTCGCCAAACCGAGAGTCCGGTCTTCGGCAGGAGCCCCGTGCTAGGGTCCGCTCCCGCACAAGGCTACTCCTTCAGGAGGAGGCTGGGGTACATTCCGTTGTGCCCGAGAACTGGTGCTGGGGAGACTTTGAGGGTGCAGAGTGGGCCCTTTGAGGTGGGTGGTGGTGGAGGAGGAGGCCCCCGGGGAGGAAGCTGGGGATCCCGGACAGGTTGCCCTGCTGAAATCTCCTACCCTGAAGTCCTCACCAAAAGCCTGCGATATCCATATCCACCACTGCCAGATTCCTTGGCCTTTCAAAGACCATCCCAACTGGGCCTCCGCCTGTCTGGAGCCCTGTTTCCAGAGCCCTCCACCTTGCTTCCGCCAGGCTCTGATTTTAGGCAATTTCTATTACTTCTCTGGTCCTTGGTTTTCTTACACAGATTGGGCAGATTCTTTATTCGGATTGGGAAGGAAGAAATAAAATGGTCTGTGTTGCAGATGGCATGATGTCTGTAGAAAATCCGAAGGAATTGACACAAAAAAACTTCCTGGAACTAAGAAATGATTATAACAAAGTTTCAGGATACAAGGTTAATATTTAAAAGTCAAACGCTTTGGAGCGCCTGGCTGGCTCGGTTGGTTAAATGTTGGACTCTTGATTTCCACTCCGGTCATGATCTCAGGTTTGTGAGATGAAGCCCCCATGGGGTTGGAGGTGGAGCCTGCTTAAGATTCTCTCCCTTTCCCTCTGCCCTTCCCCCAACCTCTCCCTCCGACCCCCCAAAAAGTCAAATGCTTTCCTAGACACCAGGAATGAACAAGTGGAACTTGGAATTAGAAATACTATTTACATCAGTAGCCCCCACAATAAAATATTTAGGTATAAATCTAGCAAAATATGTACAAGGTCCATATGAGGAAAACTACAAAGCCCTAATGACAGAAATCAAAGAAGAACTAAATAAATGGAGAGATATTTCATATTCACAAATAGGAAGACTCTATATTGTCAAGATGTCAGTTTTCCCCAGCCTGACCCCAGCCTATTAGAGTCAATAAAATCCCAATCAAAATCCAGCAAGTTATTTGGTGGGTATCAGCAGATTCCAAAGTTTATATGAAGATTCAGAATAGCTAACACTGAAGGAGAAGTCAAAGTTGGAGGACTGACATTACCCGATACCAAGACTTCCTATAAAGCTACAGTAATCAAGGCAGTGTGGTATGGGTGAAAGAATAGACAAATAGACCAACGGAAGGGAACAGAGAGCCCAGAAATAGATCCACATAAATATAGTCTTTTGATTTTTGACAAAGGAGAAAAGGCAGTACAATGGAGAAAAAGTCTTTTCAACAAATGGTGCTGGAATAATTAGACATCCACATGTAAAAAAAATCAATCTAGACACAGACTTTATAGCTGTCGCAAAAATTAACTCAAAAGGGATCACGGACTCAACTGTAAAATGCAAAACTATAAAACTCCTAGAAGATAACATAGGAGGAAATCTAGATGACCTTGGAATTGGTGATGGCTTTTTAGATACAACAACAAAGGCAGGATCCATAAAAGAAAGAATTAAGAAGCTGGACTTCATTAAGATTAAAAATGTCAGCTCTGCAAGAGACACTGTCAAGAGAAATTAAAAGGCAAACCACAGACTGGGAGAAAATATTTGCAAAAGACACATCTGATAAAGGACTTTTACCCCAAATACACAAAGAACTTTAAAAGCTCCTCAATAAGAGAACAAACAAACCAATTAAAAATTTGGCCAAAACCTTCACTGACACCTCACAACAAGATATACAGATGGTAAATAAGTACATATCATCAGGGAAATGCAAATTAAAACATCAATGAGATACCACTACATACTTATTAGAATGGCCAATGTCCAGAACATTGACAACACCAAATGCTGGTGAGGATGTGGAGCATCAGGAACTCTCATTTGTGGTGGGAATGCAAAATGGTACAGCCACTTTGGAGGTTTGGTGGGTCTTTACAAAACTAAACATATTCTTACCATAAGATATAGCAATCACATTGCTTGGTATTTACCCAAAGCAGTTTGAAATTTATCTACACAAAAACCTGCACATGGGCATTTATAGCAGTTTTATTCATAATCACCCAAATCTGGAAGGAACCAAGATGTCCTTCAGAAGTTGAATGGATCAATAAACTGGAGTACATCCAGAGGATAGAATATTATTCAGTGCTAAAAAGAAGTGAGCTATCCATCAAGTCATGAAAAGACACAGAAGAACCTTAAATGCATATTACTGAGTGAAAGAAGCCCATCTAAAAGCCCTCCTGCTGTACCATTCCAACTCTATGACATCTTGGAAAAGGCAAAACTATGGGGACAGTAAAAAGATCAGTGATTGCCAGAGGTTAGGCAAGAGGAGGTGATAAATAGTTGGAGCATGGAGGACTTTTAGGACAGTGAAACTACTTTAGATGATATTATGATGGTGGATACATGTCAATTACACATTTGTTCAAACCCATAGGATGTGCCACAGAAGGAGTGAATGCTAATGTGAATTATGGGCTTTGTGGGTGATGATAATGTGTCAATGTAGGTTCATCGATCACAACAATTGTACCACTCTGGTGTGGGATGTTGGTAATTAATGGGGGAGGCTTTGCATGTGTGGGAGCAGGGGGTGTATGAGAAATCTCTGTACCTTCAGCTACATTTTGCTGTGAACCTAAATCTGCTCTAAAGAATAAAGGCTATTTAGTAAAGTGAGTACAGATTTTCTGGAGCTTGATTTGTTCATACATATAAAAAGCCTTGGAAATTCTATATCCTTTAATGCAGAAATTATATTTTAATGAGTTTTTCCTGTGGAAATAGTGAATGGAGCAGTTAAATATTTCACTCCAAAGACGTTGAGAGCAGCATTGTTTAGTGTAACAAGGAACTGGAAACAAAAAACCTGAACTTCCCATACTTCCACAGTTGATTAAAATGTGGTTAAAAATGTCTTTTATAAAAGACCACATTATCATTAAAATTTTTTTGAATCAGTAAAAATTCACATGATTCAAAAATCAAAACATACACAAAATGATACATTGAGGAGCATCCCTCTCACCCCTGGCGCCCTCTATTTTTTCCCCTTGCAACTTTTATTTTCTGTTTATTCTTCAAGTGTTTCTTTTGGTCAATTCAATGATATATTCTCATTTATTCCCCTCAAAGAAGTCTCCATATCAAAATATGGAGTCCTACTTCCTTCTTTTTCCTTTTTTAGTCTGTTGTGTGGATATGCTACAGGTTTTTTTAAGTTCTCTGTTGCTATAGACACATTGGCTTAATATTTTCAAACTATGCCTGTTAAATTACAAATTGGGTTATTTCCCAATTTGGGGCTAATACAGTGCTATACATAATGTTATGATATAAAATTGCCAGTGCTTCGGTAAATAACTTTGTATGTCACATCTATTTGTATATGTGCAAATGACAATAAATTGGGTAATAAATTCCTAAAATGGTATTGCTGAAAGCAATAATAATAAAAGAAATAATAATAATAATAAAAGCATTTGTAATTTGGGTAGATATTGCCATGTTCAAGTCCATAGGGGTCTCGCCATTTTGCACTTCCCACGTAAGCAGTCTTTGGTGGAAGTGAGTGCCAGGGGCTGCACCTGAGTCAATAAACAAATATCTGTTGAAGCCCTAAGAAGGCAGTCATCAGAAGCAGGATTTCTCAGCAATGCTGGTTTCTCACACTTGACCTGAGGGTGTGCTCTCAGTCATCCCAAGTATGGTAGGGAGGGGCACTGTTCCCAAGAAAGTCACCTCCAGTTATTTTTCTGTGTCTCTGTGTGTCTCTCATGGAGTAACTAATCATCAAATTAAGAAGCTGCCCTTGTTATCAACTGTAGACACATTTTTAGGTAAGCTTTTAAATTACTTTGCAAGTAAATGTAATTAAGCTCTATGAATTATTGTTGGAAAAAGTGGGATATAATTAATGGTTCAAGGTGCGTTTTGGCACTGGCTTCTACCCTGCATTCCATCTACCCAGTTTTCACAGCATTCTGGAAGGAGTGGCTCTATAAGACATGCTGGTTGACTCACCTGATCCAGGTAGGGTATTTTTCTCTCTCTGGTTTCCGTCTGCTTCCCGGGGGCAGTGCCAGGAAGATGATAGCTGGGAGTGAGATGAGGCATCAGGCTGTGTCCACCAGCACACTCCCTACCTACGGAAGGAGAGACAAGAACATGGGGCGCCTGGGTGGCTCAGTCAGTAAAGTGTCTGCTCTGGGCTCTGGTCACGATCCCAGGGTTCTGGGATCAAGTTCCACATCAGGCTCCCTGCTCGGCGGGGAGCCTGCTTCTCCCTCTGCCTGCCGCTCCCCCTGCTTGTGCTCTCTCTCTGTCACTATCTGTCTCTCTCTCTGTCAAATAAATAAATAAAAAATCTTAAAAAAAAAAAAGAACGTGATAGTTTGCATGAAAGCTAGATTTTTGGTTAGAAATTTGTGATTGCTTTAAAGACTTTTGGAAAGTTTTCAGAGCCCTCAGAAGGAGGCAGTATTAGGGACAGGGTGGGTTGAGAGAGCAAAGTCCTTGGAAGAAGCAGGTTATCAATGGTCTTGGTAAAGGAAATATTAGTTAATACAACCCTCTTGGTGGGAATGGCATTGTTC